CTTGTTCCACGAGTGACAGAAGTCGAGTTCGTATGTCAGTATCTTCTGGGTTCTTCAACCCACAAATAAAAATCAAACACTTGAACTGATCTGATGTCATTTCGTGTGGTTTGAACCTTTCACATTCCTTGTTCACTTTGCCAGCGTAAGTGACATAATCATCGGAAGGCATTTTTGTCAACTGAAAACATTGATACCGAATATTAAACATGGATGACTGTTCACCAAAGATTTGTGATAAAACGGTGACTGTCTCATCGAATGATAACTCACGTGGGTTCTTGGGCAGAATGAAGTTAACATATCTGTTGTGCTCAACAGTACCAAGTTTTCTTAGTAACAATCGGACTTTGGCAGCATCATCAAACATGTAGCATTCAATACGGAAAACGTCTTCGTAACGATTGAACCATGCATCAAATACGAGACCAGATATTGGGTCGTAGTTGAACTCACTGATGGAATTTGAGATGCTTTCATATTTGTCAGAATGAGATGTTGATGGAACTTGAATGGACAGCTTCTGAGTGAGAGCTTCGATTAATTTTAGTTGAGCTGCTTCATTCTGAACTTGCTGCTGCTGCAAGATAGATTTGAGATCGTCCAGAGAGATAGACATTGTAATTGGGTTGTAATTAACACAGTCAAAAATGTTATATAGCTGCGCTGAACAGAATAAAAACTGTCGTCGTTTGCTTGTTATAACTGCAATGAATTAAGGTAAAACCCCGTCGCCAATTTGTTATAACTGTAGGGAATTGAATGAAGACGTTTTCACCTTGCTCTGTCTGCGCCTGAACTAATCTGCCTATCTGCTTGTCGTACCTTCCGATTTAGTAAAGCACGCAAATATCAAAAGACAAAGGCTGGACTGTGACTGTGTATTGAAGTGCAACAACGACAAAGAAAGCCATGGTATTTATACATTTTACAACAATATGGACAGCTAACAGCATTTGAAATAATTGATCTTAATAGCCAATAACAAAGTGCGTGAGAGATGATAATATACCATATGTGCGAGATTTGACAGTCAATAACAAAATGTGTGAGAATGATAATATACCATATATACAAGATTAACAGTCAATACCAAAATGTGTGAGAATGATAATATACCATATATACAAGATTAACAGTCAATACCAAAATATGTGGGATCCTATCAATCAGGAAACTAAATCCCTATTTGAGGAAGAACTAGCTAAACGCATATCTGAATTCGACAGCTGTGCTCACCCTAAAGAAGCCTGGAAGAATATTCAGTCAGCCATAGATATAGCTGTAAAAGCTGTGAATAAGGCAAATCCAAAGGTGAGTAAAAACCACTGGATTTCGACTGCCTCATCCGAACTGATAGATGCTAGAAGACTTATTCCGGCGAGCTCCGAATTCAATGAGGAGCGAAAGCTGCACAAGAGGAAACTTACTAAAAGTCTCCGCAAGGACCGTGAACAGTGGTGGCTGACAAAGGCAAAAGAGATGGAAAAAGCATCGATGATAGGCAACACTAGGCAACTCTTTAGACTCATCAGGGAAACGGGTGGGAGAAGGCAAATCATAAGTGAGACTATTTCTGAGAAAAATGGCTCCTTAATTAGCTCTCAGGATAGACGCCTTGAACGCTGGAAAGAACACTTTGAGGAACAATTTAACTTGCCTACAGCCACACTGAACCTCCCCGCCATCCAGACACACCCGAATGGGATATAGACACTGGTCCGCCGTCTGTAAGTGAGGTCACAAAAGCTATCAGTAATTTGAAACGAGGCAAAGCGGCAGGACCCGACGGAATTATTCCGGAGGTGTTTAAATATGGGGGTGACATACTAGTTTGTAGATTAACTGAGGTACTAGGCAAAGTCTGGGAATCAGAGACAGTGCCATCAGACTGGGGTAAGTCACTTATTATACCGATATTCAAGAAGGGAAACAAGTCCTCGTGTGATAATCATAGGGGGATCAGCCTAACGAACATAGTCTCTAAAATCCTAGGCTCAGTAATCATGCATAGACTAAGCAGAACTCGGGAGGAACAGACAAGGGAAAATCAAGCAGGCTTTAGACCAGGTAGAGGGTGCATAGATCATATCTTCACTCTTCGACAGATTCTAGAACATAGACACACTTTTCGGCGTCCAACAATTGTCATATTTCTTGACTTGAAGGCGGCCTTCGACTCCGTGGATCGAAAGGTACTATGGCAATGTCTGACTGTGAAGGGAGTGCCAAGAAAGTACATTGCACTAATCAAGGCACTCTATTCAAACTCACGTAGTCGTGTAAGGGCTTATGGGGAATTGTCATCTGAATTGGTAACAACCAGTGGTGTCCGACAGGGATGTCCACTTTCCCCATTTCTGTTTAACTTCATCATAGATATGCTGATGGAAGTATCCTTAACTGAACGTAATGACTTAGGAATCGACTTGTTACCAGGGAATAATCTTATGGACTTAGAATATGCAGATGACATAGTCCTGTTAGGGGAGGATGCTGACAAAATGCAGAGTCTTCTGAACACCTTGAGCAGCAATCTTCGTATGTTTGGCATGCGATTCGCCCCTACAAAATGTAAGATGCTGCTACAGGACTGGACCACGTCAACCCCTAACTTAGTGATAGGGAGTGAAGTGATAGAACATGTTGACCACTTCACCTATTTGGGAAGTTGTATTAGCACCAACGGACTGATTGGCGATGAAATCTCAGCACGGATCCGAAAAGCTCGAGCTGCTTTCGCTGACTTACACCATCTCTGGCGTAGGCGTGACATCCGGTTATCAACCAAGGGACGTGTGTACTGCTCAGCAGTTCGCCCCGTCCTTCTCTATGGCTCTGAAACATGGCCAATACGCGTTGAAGACATGAAAAGGTTGACTGCTTTCGATCATAGATGTCTGCGATCTCTGTCTCACGTTAGGTGGTTTAATAAGGTAAGTAATGTTGACGTTAGGCGTAGAGTGTTGGGCAAAGAGGGAAAATCAATCGACGAGGCTATAAAGTTACATAGACTAAGATGGCTAGGTCACGTGCTGCGCATGCCTAACCACCGCCTCCCCCGACGGGCATTGCTAGCTGATATAGGTTCAGGTTGGAAAAGAGCCAGTGGTGGCCAAACAAAAACATGGCATCAATCCATGAAATCCTTGACAGTTAAACTGAGTCAGGTAGGGAGATGCAGACTCCCGGGTTGGGGCCCTCGGGACTCTAGGAATCAATGGCTGGAGACAATAGGTGACATGGCTCAAAATCGTTGTCAATGGCCAGCGCAGATGTATTCAGTCTCTGTAATCTTTCATATTCCTCTCTACCATTAGCCATTCTGTTTCACTCTTATACTTGTCAGACTGTATTGATTCTCTTCACTCATCTTCTTGTCTACCTCTGTGTGCTATTTGGAAGGTGGCAACTCGAACTGCTGCACTTCGGTGACAAGTTCTATGTTGAATCCAGACAGACAGACAGACAGACAAATTTTCTTTACTATGTCCACACCGACTCACTTTTATTGAGGAGTTGTATATATGTTTTGAATCATATTAGATGTAATGATTCCATGATTCCATTGATTAATGAGGTGGCAGTCTAGCTAGGGTGACTAAAAGAATAGACATTTGTGATATCCGCATGTTTATTTCCTATCAATGAACTGTAATCATGTTTTTCTAAATTCAATTTTTGTCACAATAAAAATATACTATCCGACTCAAAGACTGTTGTCTGCAATGTGATTTTTATGACTACAAATCTGCTTAAAGATACTTTTGCTGTTTTAAGATATAAACGATGAAATCGCAAAACTAATAAATCACTAAGAAATTTCATTTAGATGTTTTTGTGTAAGATGAATCACATACGATGAGATTTATAACTCTAACGGTCGCTTATTCATTTTATACTGATATGACTGATACACAAGACTAAACTGTGAACTAAACCCTTCTGCAGAAGCACGACAGACAAAACGGAAATAAAAAAAAGCATTAAATTTTAGGCTATTTACTATCTACCTCATTAATTTGACATTAGAAACAAATATATTATGCTTGACTAGCCTCAGCGTTAGTAAAAGCACTACGGTGAGTTGACAATATAATCAGTCACATTTTTCTTCATTGTATGAAAAATTTTCTTCATCCAACCATTCAAACTGAAACTTAAATTTCCCTACCACAGCCCATCAAAATATCAAATCCCACTGTACTGCAGTATCACCCAGTTTGAATAAATAAAAAATTGTCTGGAACAACTGGATTTCCAGATTTTCTCGAAAACAAATACTTTACAGCATATTTTCGTAATATATAACTAAGGAAATTTAGGCTCAGGGAACTAGTATTTAAGGAGACTTTCATATTTCAGGCAAATTTTCCAATCGACACGATAACTAGGTACAGAAATATAGACTGATGGGTTTCTCAGTGAATTTTCAGTTGCTTCCATATCGCATCATAATGCTAATTCAGTGGAAATATTATTGCAAATAAAATGATGCCAGTACATTCTACTCGTTTTCAGCTGGAAATTACGGATGAGCTTACATACATCTAAAACAGGGTACTGCATTGACTTAATACAGACCTATTAAGTTCAATAATTTTGGATACTACCTTAACATTCCGATAAATCTGTGAAAATAAAAGACCAATTATAAAGTTGGTAAATATTATGTAGATTTCGGTTCATTCATAATTTTGAAAATATTTGCTCTGATGATTTTTAAGGTCATGACTTTTCATTGTTCACAGAGTGCCTAAAATAACAATCGTTAACGAATGAATCGCATGTTTGAAGTCAATTTTCCGGAATAGATTTTTCATTTACCAGGCTAAGAGGGCTAGTGATAAAACCCAGTTACCTAAGCTAAAGTACTTGGAGTGGTACTGGAACAGTGACCCATCTGGTGAAGACTCAGTGCCTAAGCGAATGAAGCACATCTCCACCAGTGAGTTGCATGTCTGAAGTCACTCATTTCCCTCACCAAAAGTGAGATGTTAACCAAATCCATTTAGCCTCAAATGACAGAAGAGGCAATCAAGTATCAGGGCTTACAGTTCTAGTCGTTCAAAAACTACAAACACTGGAAATAAACGTTAATTAAATCAGGTAAATGAACAACTTAGTTTGATTATGTACACTTTAATGAAAACTGTTTAACTATGCTGCAAATCAGTTTTTTACGACTAAGCTATCATTTCACGTTTCTTATCAACAGAATGAATATATTCATCGTTAGATCGTTGAAGTAAAGAAGTATTCTCAATTGTATGCTGTTGTCCACTTTCCGTTTGATTAAGTTTATCAGTATTATTGTTTGTTCTAATGATGCCGGTTGAAACTGTAGGATGTCTGCATGTTGAATTTTCCCGTCTTGTCCGTTTTATTTTAAATGTAGAGTAAAATGCACGTCTAAATCTAGCAGACATTAGGCTGTACAGGATAGGGTTTACTGTTGCACTCATATAATACAGAAATCCTGAAATAAAGAGAAAAGACAAGTGTTATTCAGTGAGTTATTAGTCATTATGCAGCATGACAGCTACCTTTAACAAATTGGAAATGTCAAAACTCCCAATTTTGTTTCAGTTAAAAGTCGTATGGTATGGACTTAACGGGTTTTGCTGAATATATTCATGCTTATAAAGTAAATTAAACAAACGATTCTCCAAGCTCTAGGGGAGATATTTGTTTCCCAATGACTTTGTCACTCATGATTTGAAATCAAAAATGCAATCACTTGTAATTATATCAATCTGTGATCAACTCGTAGAAACAAAACTAACCCTTACAAATCAAACTATAGAAAATTAATCTGATGCTCGCTAGTGACCTGCTACAGGATGGAGTTTCCTGGAGTTTTAGTGAGAAGTCGTGACCAGTGAGGTCCAATTAGATGTCACGTGTGAATATGGATGTCTCACCTACGACAATAGTTGGGGTCGCGCTAAACCACGAATTGGTCGAAGTTAGAATCCATGAGCTACTGAATCGAGTCCCGGTGGCTGAATGGTATACGAGCTTGCCTTGCAACCGGAAGTTCCTCGGTTCGAACCTCAGTGGGTGCGTACTGCTGATTATTCCAAACTAGGATGAAACAGCAGCTGTCCAGTACTCCCTGGTTTTCAATGGTTCTCTAACTGATATCATCCATGATCAACTCGTAAAAATTGAAACAAATAGTAACATGAATGAACAATAATTTTTGAAGTGGTTATGATTTTTTGTACTGCCTGTCTTTGGACAGCTCATGTTTCGATTTTTCTTAAGCTGTTTTCTTTTTAAAATTATTGCTTTTTTCTAATTAGCTATCACTAGTTGCAATGCACCGACATATTAACTATCAGCTTAGTGAATACACTTACACTTTTAGTAACTTCTCGACCATTCAATTCTGTCTTATGATAAAGTGAACCGTATGAAACAAGTAGCAAGTAGAGTCTATTCCAACAAAAAAGTAAATAAAAACATCTGAATAAGAGCGCTTCACTTTCATTGAAAATATAAACAACTAAGCGTTTTAAAGTAAATTTCATTTCTGTACTTCTTACCGGATACATAGAAAAGGAAGTCGATAAAAAACCAAGTCATCTGAACATTCGCAGAAGTAAGGACACGTTGTAAATGGAATGGTGCCCAACAGATGAAAAACGCGACAACTATAGCCACTGAAAATAAAAGTGGAAATGCTAGATTGTTAAAAAGTAACGTTTGGGAAAATAATTTAGTGGATTGAAAAAAAGGACACTTCAGTCTTTAGCACACGTTATGTATCCAAAGTCACTTTTTAAAGCAGTGCAGCAAACATACAACTTCTAAGTTCGAGCAAACTGAATGATGTGTGATAAGTGTATACAACTTATCGCATCTATGTGATGTACATAAAAAAGCTCCAGCAAACTGTATTTTCCACCATAGAAATTTTGTTGCCAAAATCAGACAACTGAATAAAAAATAATAATTCAGATTTTGTCTATTGGTCTACCGCAATTTGTTAAGGTATATTTTTACTGTAGTGTTGTGACTTTTTAATTTTTGTCCAACATATTACAAATACATGAATAGCAGTCTAATCGACTCTTTATTTGCGTTATTGCTTATAGACTGAGCAAAACTGTTTACAGAGAGTTCTTAAAGTGATTCATTTTGATTAAAGTATAATAAAGTCGTATACAATTGTCGAACAACTATTTGATTAACTCCGGTCTGAGACTGCTCTCATATGTCACATAGCTTTCAGTTTCATCAGCATATGTTTCAGTCACACCACCAATCGATTGATGTGTTTACAACTTTCAAAATAATGAATGTTTTGAGTGCTACTCAGAGACGGAATATATAGAAAACACAAAGATTTGTGCTTATGTGCATAAACGTCTGTTGCTTGTTGTTAGTGGTATTCAAGTTTTCCTAATTTAGTTCACTCATAACCTTATTGATATGCCGTATGCTGTCAGATGTAAATTCACTATAACCCTGACAACTAAACGGACAAATTACCCACCAAATGTTTCTTTTTCTAAGCCGTGGTAGCCTTATCTGATGGTTTACTCTTATAAAAAGATAGAACTAAATTAAACCATATGGTTTAAGCATTTTAGTATTTTTTTCTTTTTTTCATAAAAAGAGTTCTATTTTTACCTACTATTTGTGTACCATAAGTGATTCCTTTGCATTAATAAACTGACAACTTTTCAGGTCATTTGTGCAGGTATCTACAGCTTAGCCCAGGTTTTGTGGTGATGATAAAATTTTAGCGGATTTGGAAATTTGTAGGTGAAATTCAGTCCAACAAAATATACACTAGTGGATTAAATCTGATTTCCAGAGTTTTTAGTTTGCAAACATATTTACAATTTCAAAACGCTAAATGATGCATTTATGTTATTTCTTCTACATAATATATCGGTGTTGTGATTAATGTTTAATTATTTAAACATATGCATACCTCTGCCATAAAATTAAGAAATAATTCGTTGAAATTATTATTGAATTCTTCAGTCCCATGTTGTTCTATCAAAGCTATCGGTCATTCTTGGCGTACTAGCATATTACAACAGTTAACTCGATATTACCAGCATTTTCACTTTAGTCGGGTAGTTGCTTGAATTCCTTACACTTTTTTAGCTCCAAGTTATAAGAAACACATTAAATGGAAATTAAACTAGACCCTCCTCCGCATTCATTCTCCTTTCCACTGGATAAAAAATAATTTCGATAGGGTTTTTCATACTGAATTTTTGTTTATTTATCGAATATCGAGCAGTTGTTTGGGCGAAATTTGGAAATGACACAAAGAAAATGTCATTGCTGACATCTTTTTGTAAATGATCATTCTGTTACATTTTATGACCGTCAGGTGCAGTTTACAGTTAACACAATTTCTAATATGCGAAAATTGTGATTGGAGGCATTGTGACAACTAATAACATCTTGTGAGTTATAATATGTTTACTAGAATAATGAAAGAATATTTATGCTAATGAACTCCTGAGATCTATATAAGTTTACGTGTATAAAACTGAACTTTTTATGGCAGTTACTTTATGTCTTTTGTCTTTCGATCAAATAAAATCATACCTTAGGATGTTGTTTGTATGCATTACTTATTATTTACTTATTTGTCTAAACACAATTCGGTTACAGCTGCCTATAAACCAGTAGACCCTGAGTTTCAATTTGCATTGCCACTAATATCAATGACAAGTTAAAGAAAAGTGTTTCTACAAGACTACGGGGTTGAGCTGAGATTTTTCTCATTATATGATATAAAATGAGGAACACTGTGGCTAACTGTAACTTACCAAGCATTCTAACAATACTTCTTCTTCCGTTACTGGACGAATGAACTCTGAATTTGCCACCAGTTGTTTGATTCTTTCGAAGATTAAACCTACTTGGGGCACGAAGACTTAGACTTGATCGATTCAGTTGGATTGCGATTAGACCGTACAAAACAGACATTATAACCATTGGTGTGAAAAAGAATAAAAATGTCCACAATTGTAGAACAACTGGAATACTCATATATGCAGCCCATTCTGAATCCTGTGTCAAAAAAGTCAAAGAAAGACCACTATGACTGTTTTGAATAAAATAAAATTATTACGCAGCATAGTAGTGGCGGACAGTGAATATATTTAGACGAATTCTGTCTTTCAATATGAAAATGAGAAAAATGTATAAGTTTTTTGACAGTGCGTTGCCATAGTAACATGCCTAAATGGAAACTGGTTGTAGTATTCTTGTTGATGGTGGTTTAAGCTTATTAGACATCGAAAAAATGAAACATACTTCAGTATATACTCTATAACCACCGAGTGTTTTTTTATCATATATTGTTAAAATTCAGTATGCATAAGGGATGTGTCTTAAGTTGTAAAATTATTGAGCGTTCTAACTTTGAAATAAAAAAATTCACCAACCATTCTTTAAGTCAGAGTTGTCGGTGGCTTATTTCAGTAGTATTTTCTTAATCTTGGCCTAGTTTTTAATTATTACAAACTTGAATGATTAATGAAGTGCTTGAAGTTAATTAAACAGAGGTGTTTTAACTATATGTAATCGGTGGACATATTTAAGTATAAAATTTGTGTAACTATGTGGCTCATATGCTCTTAATCAATTTACGATAGCTACCGAAAGATATGATTAGGCAATTTTCTTTCTCAAATCTACTTTCCTTAGGGAGCTGCATATATTCAATTTTTTCATTTAAAACGCGGTCCTGGAAAAATACTCCAGTAGGAAATTACCCTTTAAGTTTGTTCATCTTTACACAGCACATAGTATTTGCCACAAGGTTTCTGTAATATTGTTATGTACTGGTCGAGAATTCAATAGTCCTGACGCAAGAAAGACGGAAATCAGAAGACCACTAGGTTTGCGATGATACTTCTATTTTGCAAAACACCAGGAGAATCAATGTCACACAAGTGTGTGAGAGCAAAATATGAATGTCCGAACAAGTGTGTGAGCGAATATTCAAAATGAACAAATCAATAGACAGTCTTAACATGATTGGCTAATTATAATGGAATATCGATCCATATATACATAGCAAAATATATCAGACTGTCAAACACACACACATATCAAATATCACCAGGCTGAACTCAAATGAAAGGACAGGCAAAAACTGCCTTTGTTTATCGGTGTGGTAATTTTCTGATTTAAAAGAAGATGAATAGTACCAGGTATGTTCCAAGTTTTTATCACTTAACTTATAGTTTTTTTAGCGTCGGTTTCAAGACTCCAAGTCAAATCTATAGCTTCTAACACTTAAAGATCACATTTTTTCCTTCACTTTCCCCAGTGGAACATAGGGCTTCAAGCTAGTGGCTTGAAGTTTCTGTAGCAGTGTTTATTTTACAGGATGGGGTTGCTAGCCTCATGCCCAAACTTTCCTCTTTATCAGCATTATTTCTGGCTTAGTGAGGTAAAGGAGTGCCTGGTCGGCCGGGGATCGAACCCCTGACCATGTTTATGGTCGGTGAGCGTCCTAACCGCTATCCCACCGACGCACTAAAGATCACATTGCCAACTACTAATATCTTGAGTAGCTCCTTTTTGTTTTTACAAAAATGAGGCGTACTCAGTTCATTTTAGTTATTTTACCATGTTATTTCTAGAAGTGATACAAGTTAGTGTTAATCACGAAAATCTAGGAGCGATATGACAAACTGTTTACTGTGCATTACATTTACAATTCGTCACAGTTCATAGCTTTCTTAAGAAGCAAACGAGAACACTTTTACCTAGTGCAATATTTAAACCATAGAGCACAGTGCATTTATGACACTTTCATGCTAACAGAAAACCCACCACTTCTAAACATGTTATCAAAGTTTGTATTCACAGAATTTATGGAAAGACCAGCTGCGTCACAGTAAACGACTGGTTCAGCGATATTTGAAGCTAGGAATTCAAGATCACAAATAACTATTTGGCGTTGATATAAGAATGGAATTCGGGCACCATGTTGGATTATGAGCAGTAAATTATTCTAGAAATACCATCGATAAGTAGATAATACTCTATCGTTGTGCATTTGTCAAATAAAAATTTATTCCTTTATGGAACCTGTTGACGTCCTATCGTAATAATGCGTGAACAATAGTCACACAGAAAGTTTCAGCTGGCGTAACTGAGACTATAGAAATATAAGACTTTTTAGGCTTTTAATTTTCACTGCCTTTCATAAGCATCAGCGATTCACGTTAGACTTTCTCATTCAAAACATTTTTGTGTGAAAAGTCTGTCAGAAAACTAGGTTAACTGAAAATAATTTGTCAACATGGAACGGTTAGATTTCTGTTCATTTCTGTATCACCCAATTCAAAATTTAAGAGTCGTGAAACAGAAAGCCTCCGGAATTTGTGGATTAAAATTATAATATGTTACGTTTATTTTTCTATTATTTGAAATTTATTAAGCCAACAGTTACCAGTTAAAATGCATTAGAGTCTTTTCCAGATCTTGTAACACGTTTATAATTATTGGAACTGTATTCTTAGTCGTTATGTGATACGACTAACTCTCTGTGAATGCACCATAATTATGTGACACATATTTAAGATGTTTTCGAAACATATAATTATACATCTAGATGAATGTTTTATTATAACTAATATCACATGTATCTGATAAATACAAATTCGGGCAACAGAAACTCACATAGTTTTTACGGTATGAGTATATCCGCTTCATGTAGAAAACAGAAGAAATATAGTCTTACACTGATTGTGTTTTCAGAATAATATTAAAAAACATTAAAAATGTAAAACCTTTCTTAAAAGCTATCAAGTAATTTATCTGTTTCGTAAATGGGGCAGCTTGATTAAGAGTGAGCTTTTCATTAGTGATTTTTGCAGGAAATAACATCGTTTTTTTGTCATCTATGCAACATTTTCAGTAAAAAAAGAAGGCTGCCAATAGAAACGATACAACAGTATTATTAAAATAGGTCTAATTATCCCAAGAGTCATTTAAAGTTTCCAATTTGTGTCAGTGTATCTGTTCAGGGTGATCCTTAGCAAAGTATAATGGAGTGACCTCTGAAATCGAACTGATTTTAAATTTGTTTTTCTCTAATGAATGAATAATATCGATACTAATTGGCTGTTTTAAATCTCTTCTATCCATCAAAGTTAAATTTTTAATTAGGCAAAGTGGTTTTAATTTCAGATTTGTTTCAGTTGTTTCCGTTTTTCATTGCTTCAGCACAAGTTAATTGTCTAGATTAGGTATTCTCATACTTCATTTATTTGACAATATACTGCGTTGTGTAAATTTATTCAAATTTATTTAAATTTAGTTGCAAAAGGCAAATTAGATTTAATTATTTTAGCTTAGAGTAAGGCTGCTAATCAGCCAATCACTAATACAAATCATCAGTCGATAGTTTTCATTACTTAAATTGTGGACATGATAAAAACAATTAGAAAACGGAATAGATTGCCATGTTTATATTCCTATATGGAAATCATATGGGAAATAGAAACCATTCGGTGAAATATTACTCTTCTTTTTACGAATGCAGATCCTTGAGCTGGCAATGTGGAATTGTTGAGATAAAACCATTATTATACGCAGAGATGGATGATATGGATCACGAGTATACAAACGATCTTTCGTTAAATCGATTGAATTAACGTAGATATAAAAAAAATCAGTTTGCGTGTAAAGAAAAACAGATTATTATGTGGTTTAGCAGCTATGCATAAATTCGATAAATTAAAATATTCACACTTCTTAACGTTAAATTTATTTATTGTTTATAAAAATGTCATATTTGTTTCTCATTATAGTGTGGGATAGACAAGAAAATCGGAAGAAGAATAGGCAAACAGCGATCATGCTTTCTGCCAAATGAGTAACCAATAGTAGTAATTAGTGGAAATGTCACAAAAATGACATACCGTTAATCCTTTATTTTTAAAAGGTATTTTTCTTTAATTATGTATAAGATGTTCAGTCACATCCATTTCAGACTGACAAGAAATAAAGTTATTCAAATAATTTACTTCTTGCGTTCAGATGACGAACACCATTTTAACAATGAAGGTTGAATAAAACGTTTTTTGGCTAACTATGTGAAGCAATAAATATTATTAAGTTCTTTTGATGAATTGTGGCAAGTAAGAAATCAGTTCTCATTCGGTCTAAACGGTTTGTTTGTAGTCACTGAGAAATACTTGCCCTCCGCCATTAAAAGCAGTTGAAGACAATAAAGCATGAAGGCGAAAGTTGTAAACTAGTAGAAGCTCTGTTGACTTTGAGCTTCACTGAGGAGATACAATTGTTTAAGTGAGTACGGGATTTTATTCGTTAACTGACTAACAAAAGGCTTCTTGAGTGCCGGAGGTGTATGTCGCACTAATCAATTCACTCTGTCTGAACACATGCGGCTGCATAAGATATTATGGACAATTGTCATGTGAAGTGAAGATAATTAGGGGCGTTCGTCAAGATTACCTGTTTCATTCTACTTTGTAACTCTTCAAAAGTAAACACTTATGAACAAACTGAAAATCAAATCCCTCTGACCACTCATCCACCGAGAAGTAACATCTGTCCGAAGACTTAGTGGGAAGTCATGACCAGTCGGTACCACCAATGTGAGAAAAAATACTGGCTTGTGACATCGGCTGCTGGTTGCGTCTTAATAAATAAATGGTCAATGAGCTCGCACCAAGATCCAAAGATCCTGAGTTTGACACCCAGTGAGGTCATGGGCGCATGTTGCTGAGCAGTTACAAACTAGGACGAAAAAGCTGACTGTTAATGCTTAAATTTCAGTGATCGTCTAACTGTCATCAACTTGCGATCTAATTTAAAACAAATCAGTTCCTTGTTTACCAGTATTTGACAGGTTTTTCTTTTATACGGTGCCATCTATTAGGTTGCAAATTTGTGAAAATATAACTATGAAGTGAAGAGTTTCTTGTTTATTTTTATTATTTTTTCCATCCGTATTAGTATCATGTAACTTCGTATTGTTATTTCTTATATTCTAACCTCAGATGTGAAACAGTTCTAGAAGTTTTTTTTACTCCTTGGCTATGTAATCATAAGTATGCTGTTCAACTGATGGCTTTGTCACAAAGAAAATTATACCTGTTAGTTTGTTTATTAGATATATCACACAGTGAAACAGTATTATTTACTGGATGACATTTCGAACAAAATTTATTGTTCATAATCATATCAATTATACCTGGGCTGAAACTGTTTTCTGCTTGATTTCCCTATTGTATAAAGCAGCACAGTGACATTTGCGCAACCCATTTTTTGCTGAATTATGGTATACGGATGCTTAATACTTTACCTCCCTAAAAGTGAAAAAATAGATGAAAAACGTCAGTGAATATAGAATGCTAGATTTTTAAAAAATGTCTCCCATGACACTTATGCATCACTTTTATGCCCATCTACACTGTCTATGGAGTGTTATTTTATGCAAGTTTATATATATTGCATAACACACAGAAATTCAGTGTTGTTCAGTGGGTAACGTTTCAAAAAACAACCCCTTATAATAGTCCTTAGAGTGCATGCAAATGATACTGGGAATTTAATCTGAATGATTGGAGCATTTTTAGTGCATCGTTGCGTAAACAGAAAAATAGAAAACTATGTAGCTAGAACTTACTTTTGAGGGTGCACATACAGCTGAATCAGATAGAGCTTCTCCGGGCACCCACATTTCACCATTTTGTAGGCAATCAGCTGATTGTTCGGAATTGATATATGATATACATTGTTGATCACTGCATGTACTGTTGACGAATGTGTCTATTGTAGGTAGATAAACAGCATAAAACACCTTTGACAATCCGGCAATCACTATGGCACAGCAACCTGCTAAAACCCAGACGCAAAAGATTAGTAGGAAACATGATTTAAGCGCACTGATTTGGACTGCATATGATGTGTGACCTCGCCTGTATTGGGACTGATCAACTGAACAGTTTAGTCGTGTACCACTTCCCTTTCGTGCACTTCTTTTTTTCGATATTCTTTCACTGCTTAGATAAGTATTACAGCTGACATTACGAACATACGTACGGTTACATGAATGCCCAGCATCGTACTGAGAAAATCGTAACATTTTTCTAAATGGATGACAGATTGATAAGTATCGTTCGGCACTGAATATGGTTAATATCAGTATGCTCACTAATGGACAGAGTTCAGTTAGGAAGATCCTAAATCGACAGAAAACTGTCCCCATTCTCCATGGATACGATTCATTCACAACTGATTGAAGTTCAAAAGGTAGACCTGTTTTGAAATTAAAAGAAGATAACATAATAATACTGGATTTCAACTGAGTATCAAATATTTTCTATTGAAAATATGTTACTGTTTTATATCTGACAAGAAAAAGTTAGAGAACTAAACAATTCAGGACACAATTATGAAAGATTCATGTAATAATTGTGACAGTTACTACTAGAATTAAATTGGGCGTGTCAGAGATATGAGAAAACCTGAAAAAATGTAAATTTTATGCTGTACGAGTTTATTGACGTTATAGACTATTTCCCGTACCATACTTTCTTAAAGTTGAAAACATGTAGCACTAATGACTTCGGCTAAATAACACAACTACTTTAAAACAACTAATAAAGATGCATATCTAAGTGCCAAAGACGCAAGATGCAAAGTGTTTGATAAACCATCGGAAAGAAGAGATGCAATATATGGAAGATTTCATATAAATGGTTCAGTGCAAAATTCTCAAGAATTTGTAGGGATTTTGCTCAAATACAAAATACTGATATAGACGTAGGCTAAAAGCAAACTCTTCCACTTTCTTTTGAGATGAGATAAGTGAATTCGCAGTTTTGATCTTCATTTTAATCCGTATTAGATCTGCATGTCTGACAGTGCGTTTAGTCGAAAAAGATCTTATCACTCTCTACATTCAGGGACATAATAAGCTTGTGCATTTACATAAACTCGATAGCTGCCAATTCTCTTAGTTAAGTTGGATTCTGTCCAGAATTAACATCAGTTAGAGGACCATTGAGTACTTACGGAATTTAATAGTTTCCGGATAATAAGTTGTACACTGCTTTATTTGACTGGATATGCTAAAGTTAGAAGATAAAATGAATGAACGGATTTAAGCACTTGTCAATTGCTGTTAATAAATTATGACAGGAAGTGTGTATGTTCAGAAATAAAATGTGGTAATAGTCAAGGTCGTGTGTTATTTAAATATATCAAGAAAACTAAATGTGTGAAATTTCAGAATATTTTGAAGAAAATGAGGTAGGAGAAACATGATATTAAGTCGAAAAAAAAGAGAGAAATATTCAAGTCAAAATGCTGTATACAGCATTCAGAATAATCATAAAAAGCAAGTATCAGTTAAACCGCATTACGCAGGACTGTTATGCTTTTAGTGTGGATATTTTAGAAAACATCTGGAATTCAAGATATTTATGAGTAAAATTTAAACGTGAAGCCGAACAAAATAGGCGGGTGACCGTTTCAGTTAATAAATTCGCTAAGTAGCCTATGAATAGATTTAATATATCATGGTTTTGCTTACGAAAATGGGGATCAGATGAAGACGCTCATTCACTGGTACTAACCTCACTTGTTAGGCATGATTGTTACATATAAATATTTACTACTTATTGTTGTATTTTTTATTCCTTAGCGTTCCGAGTGGAACATAGAGCTCCAAGCTTAGAGTTTGAAGTTGCAGCAGCAGTTTTGTTTTTTACGTAGTGGGGTTGCTAGCCTCACACACAACCTCCCTTATATTTGTCAGGCTTACAACCGGAGAGGAGAGGTAAAGATGTGTGCCGGTCGGGAATTGAACCCTGGACCACACGAGTAGTTGGCGAGCATCCAACCGCTGAGCCCCCAAGGCACCGATTATAGTCTACAATTTTATTTAAAAGTGCCTCATAGTGATGAATTGCTAGAGGGACATTTTTAGTTCTTGTTTAGAGTAACTAAGCAACTGAGTATTTATTTAAGAAGAAAAATAAGGGCTTAGATAACAGTGAATGTTTAGCAGTTATAAGATGGAGAGCAGTTGACCTGTTGATTCAAAATGTGAATGCGATATTTTCAAATAGCTTATCTGATTTCAGTTTCAAAGAGTAGCAATAAGTTTTTTTAAAGCCAAAAGACTATGAATGTGATTTCATGGAAAGTAGCAGAATGTCTTGGAATATTCTGAATTAATCTTAAGTTAACAATATGTGGTTACGGAGTACACTCAAGGAATGCTTAGAGAACTAAACATAGCCCAATGAAATGTAGTCCTGAATTACGTTATTAAAAGCAAAATTTTATCTAAAAAGAGTAAAATCTTCCCTAAATGCCTTTCCAACAATTAGATCATAAATCTAGTAGACAAATAAATCTATGTGGAATCGAATATATTGAAGACCAGTTAGAATAAACAAAATAATAAGATATTTGAGAGAGAAGGATAGTGAAGACTACTCTAAATAATAAAATCAGATGAAAACTACTAAGGTGATTTAAGTGTGACAATAAATTGTTTCTGCGCATACAGTCAGGCATGGTAATAGCTATCGCTTCATTATATTTCAGCATGTAATCGGTTCTGTGCAGAAACCTTAATAATTATTTCGAATTCAGCCTGAAATGTGTTTTGCTACAGAAAGAGATGGTAGTCTTCCCTCTGCGCCTATACAAATTTAAGCTTTTCGAACTGTTTTAGTTAGATGCTGAGTTTAGGCACATATAAATCGGTGCAAAATATAAAAGGCTGAGTGGCAAGAAACCAGCAACCTAGTGCTAACTAGAATTTGAGTGACTTGAACTGATTTCGTTATGTGAGCTAAGTCTAACCAGGTTTACAGTTGATGAGTTCAGCCTAAAGTAAGTAAAATCACCGTTCGGTGTTTAGCTCACTTCTACCTGGCTAACACGAACTATCCTTAATCTGAGTGATTGCAATTAGATTATTATTAGTGTAGCTGATTCGGTAAAAGATCAAGAGATATTATCTTTGTTTCAAATGTCAACATATCGGGATAAGTTGCTATTTTAGTATGATATCTCGCGAGTAACTTAGTATGGTAATTAATAAACCAAACTGAAACTATACTTTGTAATGCATTACAATTAAATCACAAGTAATAAGATAAGAAAACATATGGCGTTGTTAATGTAGTTATCAGTATAAGTAGGACATATAAAAACACTAATATTTAACAAGTATTTACAACTTCTGAATCGGCTGGTTCATGCGCCTAACCGCTTTAGAAAATTATAGAAATTGATAAAAGATACGAAAAGTGGTTTCCTTTACCAGTTAACTGCTAAATAATAATCAGCGCTAGGCTGCATTGCTTTTTAAGAAATAATATGAATGGTCTTAAGTACCGAAGTGACATACTGACTTAGTACAGGAAATATGAAGTCAAAGTTCACGTGACACTACCTTTTGTGTTGTTAACTATGTAAAAGTGTTCAACCTTAAAGTAAAAAAATGTTTTCTGACAACCGATCAGTAAACTGTGCGGTGAAATTTCTAAGAAATATAAACTATCATAATAAATGACTCTTGAGATTCTTAAGTGAATTAGGAGAGGATAATCAGATTTATGCATTTAATACACGAATTATTTAGCTCTACTGTCAGTTTAGTTACTACAGTCCTACAAGCGGAAAATATTATTTCTTATTCAGAAAAAAATGCGAATTCTGTTCGTATACCCTAGATTAAACAGAGATTTATTTATGTCACTACAACATTTAATACAACAATAAATGTAAAACCACATGCTAAAACAACTAATTAAACCAGGGGAATGAGATCCAAAATTCGTTTAATTATTTTCTTCAAATATCTTCATCGTTTTCATCCACCACATAACCGTTTAAGGGGCGTTTATTTTTTGGTTTGTTATGTTTATTCGCCAGAGTCTGCGTTCCTGGTGTGTTATATCTGCTGATGGCTATCAGCACGAAGTAAGTTCCTCTTAATTTGGACAAAATAGTGTGGCCGTCTGAAATGAAATATCTCAATACAGTAATACAGTGTAGAAAGACGTTTTATCAGAAAAATTCAGCAAAAAACTATATTACTAGGTATAATAATAACTGAGTCAGTGTATTTGAAGAGATTAACAAGCCTTCAACACAATTCATGATATATATATATATATATATATATATATATATATATATATATATATTAGGAAATAGTGCACAGCGCTTTAAATGACTTCATAAAGGAAGCTAAAACTAGGCCTTTCAGGTATCCTTCTATGCTCTACTTGCTGGAACTAAAAATAGTGGTGTTAGAATTTTCATCACTCTGTCTAGAATTGACACTGTATTTATCTATATATGTACAATTTCATCGCTATCGTTAAAAAGGTTGATGAAACTTGAATGTAAATTTAAAGGAGGAATATCAGACAAGTAATTAAAAATCCAATTTATTTTCTTTTTTGACTGAACCTCGGTGAATTTTCCAAATGATGTATTTGTCTGTGAAGTAACAGTATGCAGTATACATATTGGTAAATATTTGTCTAAGTAAATTTTGTTTTTCCCGTTGACTGATTGGACCGGTATGTTTGGCCTCTGTTGAGGTTTCAAGTGAAGAGTATTAGACTTGAGTTTCAGTGAGAATACCGTCACTCAATAGGGTTTTCAGGCACATCCAGATGATGAATACTGAATAGGACAAAACTAGAATCCCGGGTTCCAGGGCTGATGACGGTCCACCAAATTACTTCATTTTTAGTAAAGTCCGATATTTCAACAGAATGGACAAAGACACGACCATTTAACCAGTCTTATTTTGCAGATAAGATTCATCAGTACATTTTTAGGATGCACCAAAGTTATTTACTGTTTGAAAGGAAATATTATTCTGAAATTCAACTTAATATTTCAGTGTGAACTTTAATTTTCGCTTCAAGTGTATCTGTAATTTGCATTCTTAACATACAGTCAATTATTTTCCTTAATAAACCTGAACATTGCAAGAAGAACATGCAGAGCTGGAAGAAAAGAGGGAAGATTTAATGTGAGACTAGGAATTGCATCTTGTACAAAACACCCCTGTTGGTATGGTAACTGTGAAAAAAACTTGTCCACTTCTGGAAAAGTGAGGCAGCTAGCTGGTCAAAAAGCTTGGTGAAATCAGTTTAACTAGTAGGTCTTCTTTCGGTTATAGTGAAGGAGATAATGGGGACATATTTTTGTTTTCCCCATAGTCAAGTGGAGGCTTCCTGAAATCTGGACGAACAAAATAACTCTACACTAAATGG